TCCTCCTCCTCCTCCTCCTCCTCCTCCTCCTCCTCCTCCTCCTCCTCCTCCTCCTCCTCCTCCTCCTCCTCTCGGCCCGCTTCACCCCGAGCCACTTCGCCCGCGGCAAGCTTCGCTGGCGGCCCGCCTCGCCGAACGCCCGCTTCGTCGAACGCTCGTTCCGCCAGAGGCCCGCTTCGCGGGAGGATGAAGTGGAGGAGGAGGAGGAGGAGGAGGAGGAGGAGGAGGAGGAGGAGGAGGAGGAGAGGAGGAGGATGAGGAGGAGGAGGAGGAGGAGGAAGGCACGAAGAGTACCAGGACGACGACGACGAGGCGGAGGAAAGGAGGAGGAGGAGGAGGAGGACGAGGAGGAGGAGGAGGAGGAGGAGGAGGAGGGAGGAGGAGGAGGAGGAGGAGGAGGAGGAGGAGCAGCACGAAGAGTACCAGGAGGAGGAGGAGGGCCGAGGCGGACGAAAGGTGAAGATCTGGAAGGGGGTGCGACATTTGTTGTTGTGCAGCTTGTTGGGGCGGGCGAGTCCTGACGGGCGGGCCAGGCGGGCGGACCCTGACGGCTGGGTCGGGCGGGGGAGCCACCACGGGCGGGTCGGGCTGGCAGGCTGGCGGGCGAGGCGTTGAAGCGGGTGAGCAAGCTTGCAGGCACACGGAGCGACGGGGACGAGAGGCCACGACCAGCGGCGACGACGACCGCGACGACCCACGGCGAGAGATGGCGGCGGGCGAGGCGGGCCTCGGGCCAAGCGGGCCTCCCCCTCCTCTCGAGGGGGAGTGGTCGGACGGACGAGGTCGACCACGAAGACCGCACCGCTGCTCGGGGCGCCCAGGGCAGCGGACGGACGACGCCGGCGGCGGCGGCGGTGACTGTCACCTGCGGGGGCGAGCGTAGCGACACGGAGGAGTCTTGCCCCTTGATCTCCAGACCTCGGCGGGCCGTCGTCGTCGTCGTCGTCGTCGTCGTCGTCGTCGTCGTCGTCGTCGTCGTCGTCGTCGTTTTCGTCGTCGACCGAGAAGAAAGGATCGACGATCGAAGATCCTGTCGTTATTCTGCCCCTGTTCCTCCTCCCTTCTCCTCGTCCTGTTCATCGTCCTCCTCTTCTTCCTCCTTCTCCTCCCCCTCCCTCCTCCTCCTCCCTCCTCCTCCCTCGTCCCCCGTCTTCCTCTCTTCTCGTCGTCCTCGGCAGTGCTGGTAGTCGAAGTAGCGGCAGCCAAGGTGGAGAGACGTTGTAGGACTACGTAGTTCACAGGGCAGAGGGGAGGAGGAGGAGGAGGAGGAGGAGGAGGAGGAGGAGGAGGAGGAGGAGGACGAGGAGGAGGAACAGGACGAGCAGGAGGATGGACGATGAGGTCTGAGGCGAGGGGGGCATATCCTGACGATGGGGAAGGGAGGCAAGGGCAGGTCCTGACGGCCCGTTCCGACCACAACCAGGGCCACAAGGCTTATCACCTGAGCACAATCGGGACGGCGGATTGGCTCAGCCGACGAGAAGGCATTGTCCTGCTCCTCTCCTACTCCCTCTCCCTCCAAGTGCCCCCTCCCCCTCCACCTCCCCCTCCCCTTCCTTCTCTTCTTCTTCTTCCTCCTCCTCCTCCTCCAGGAGGAGGAGGAGTCCTCCTCCTCCTCCTCGTCCTCCCCCTCCTCCCCCTCCTTCTCCCCCTCCTTCCCCTCTTTTGTGTTCCTCCTCATCCTCCTCATCACCATTCGCCCTCCAAAGGAAGGAGGAGGAGGGAGAGGAGCAGGAGGAGGATGGTGAGGAGGAAGAGAAGGAGGAGGGAGGAAAAGGGTGAAACCAGGAAAGAACACACTTTGCCCTGGAATGCATCCTCCAGAAAAATTGGAACTCGCTCGCACTTCGGACTGAATGTTTTCCAGAATCTATAATCCACAGGACGCTTGGAACAAGTTCCAGAATGCGAAGATTTTAGTCCAGATTAAATTTGCTTCGCGCTGGAAGTGCTCCAGAGTAACCTCGCGGGTGCCAGGGCAGACAAGGCCAGCCTTGCCCGTGAATGTACTTCGGAGTAAATTCGCGGAAGAGGCGGACCCCAGTTCCAACCTCCTGGAAGGAATTACTCCGAAGCAAGTCAGAGTGAGGGGGCCGAACGGTCATTCACAGTCCCTGGGTGCGTGACTGAAGTGGAATTCCGCGATGCAGAGTCTTGTTGTTGTTGTTGCTTGCTTGCTTGCTTGCTTGCTTGCTTGCTTGCTTACTTGTCTGTCTGTTTGCTTATTTGGTTGGTTGGTTAGTTGGTTAGTTGGTTGGTGGTTTGTTTGCTTGTGTGTGGTTGTTTGTTTGTTTGTGTGCTTGCTGCTATTGTGGATGGTGTTGTTGATATTGTGAATGATGTTGTTGGTTGTTGTTAGTGTTGGTGCTGTTGTTGGTGTTGTGGTTGCTGATGTTATTTGTTTATGTTGTTGTTGGTGTTGTTGTTGCTGCTGTTGTTGTTATTGTTGTTTGGCGTCGTCCCCCCCGCGACCCGGCCCGCGACCCACCCGCGACCCGGCCCGCACCATCCCGCGACCCACCCGCGACCCACCCGCGTCCCACCCGCGACCCGGCCTGCGACCCACCCGCGACCCACCCGCGACCCACCCGCGACACACCTGCGACCCACCCGCGACCCACCCGCGACCCACCCGCGACCCACCCACATAGCTTTAACGAAAACTCGGCGCCTGCGGCGGGCCCTTTATACAATTTGTAGAAAATAAAGAGCCTGCGGCGGGCTTCTTCAGAGCCTCGCAGACTGCAGACGACTCCGCCGCCCCCTCACTCTTATCCGCGACTGCGGGGCGCTACGTATTGTCATTTCCTCCTGGCTTCACCGTCTTTCGTCCAGGAAGAGATCTTAATAAGGAGGGAACAAACATACTTCGGATTGAGCGAAGCCTTCCAAAAGATTGCGCAACTATTCGGCGAAGTTTCCGACAAGCGAACAAGCTCCTCAGAAATGACCTCTGGTAGGCTCTGTGAAACAAGCCCGTGAGAAACCCCTTTTGACGAGTTTCGAGGAGGGGGGGGCGGTTTGCAGGATGTTCCTGAGAGGCATATCCGAAGTCTCCTTGCAGAACCTCCCCCCAAAACCTTCTCATAAAATTACCCCACTGCGACCCTACCTAGAATTTGGAGCCCCTAGGAAAACAGCATTAGTTGCTATGCTATGCTATGTTATGCTATGCTATGCTATGCCATGATATGCTGCGCTATGTTATGCTCTGGTATGCTATGCTGTGCTCTGCTATGCTATGCTATGCTATGCTGCGCTGTGCTATGCTGTGCTGTGCTGTGCTGTGCTATGCGATGCTATGATATGACATGCTGCGCTATGCTATGCTGGGCTATGCTATGATATGCTGTGCTGCGCTATGCTATGCTATGCTATGCTGTGCTCTGCTATGCTATGCTAAAGCTCAGCGAAGCTAAGATGAAGGTAAGCTAAGCTAATATACAACTGAGCTAAGATGAAGCGAAGCTAAGCTAAGATGAAATAAGCTAAGCTAAGATGAGATAAGCGACGCTAAGCTAAGGGGACGTAACTGGGGGAACCGCGGGGCGGATCCTGGGGGAACCGCCCGGGGAAGGGTCCACCGCCCGGCCCCTTAAGCTTACAGGGTAATAACCCTTCTAGGCAGAGCCTAGGTAGGGAAAAAGAAGGAGGCAGACGAGAGGAGGAAAAGGGGGGAGAAGAGGATGAGGAAGAGGAGGGAAATGAGGAAGAGGAGGAGGAGGACGAAGAGGACGAGGAGGACGACGACGACGAGGGGAGGAGGAGGAGGAGGAGGAGGACGAGGAGGAGGAGGACGAGGAGGAGGAGGAGGAGGAAGGAGGAGGAAGAGGAGGAGGGAGGATGAGGAAGACGAAAGTTCCGCTGACGAGGATGAGGAGGGGGACTGAAATATGGAGGAGGAGGAGGAGGAGGAGGAGGAGGAGGAGGAGGAGGAGGAGGGGGAGGAGGAGGGGGAGGAGGAGGAGGAAGAGAGGGAGGAGGAGGAGGAGGAGGAGGGGGCGGGAAAAGGCGGGCCGCCCTGAGGGCCCGGACCAAGCCGCCCAGGGAAATTCTCCAGGGTGACGCAGAACTTGTTCAGTCGCCTGCGCCCGGGCGCGGGCCCGGCCTCCCTCCGCCGACAAGACGGAAGAAAGGGAGGGGGGAGGAGAGGGAGGGGGGGAGGCAAGCTAGGTGCGCTCGCGTCATATCTGACGTCCTACCCCTCCCTCCCATCCCTTACCATGGCGCTGATTTTCTCTATCCGCGGACGCGTGTCGTAGCGGACCTGTGGCTCCGCGCGCGCGTGCGTAGTGGGTGGTGGTGCACGTGCGTGCGTGCGTGCGTGTGTGCGTGGTTGTCGTGGTGGTGGTGGTGGTGGTGGTGGTGGTGGTGGTGGTGGTGGTGGTGGTGGTGGTGGTGTGGTGGTGGTGGTGGTGGTGGTGGTGATGGTGGGTGGTGGTGGTGGTGGTGGTGGCTGGTGGTGGTGCTGTGCTGGTGGTGGTGGTGTGATGGTGGTGGTGGTGGTGGTGGTGGTGGTGGTGGTGGTGGTGGTGGTGGTGGTGGTGCGGCGCGGTGGTGGCGGGCGGATGGGCGCGCGAGAAAAAGGCCCGCGCTGGGGCGAGAACGCCATCCTGAACGACGGAGGCCAAACACCGATCCGAAAATGAGGCCCACGCTGCAGCGGGAGCACGATTCGGAACGATTCGGGAGCAGAAATGAGGCCGGCGCCTCAACGAGAGCAGCATTTGGGGAAAAAATGACGCCGGCGCCTCAGCGAGAGTCGTTTCCCGGGATTTCCCGGGAATCCTGTGTGTAAAAAAACAGTACGCGGAAGGTGCGCGGCCATCACCCGGACGCCATCAGGGGAAGAGGGAGAGTATTTTCATATTGAGTAATTGTAGAAGGACACGAAGAAAGAAAGGAAGGGCAGGGGACAAGGGGAGGAGAAGGGCAGGGGAGAAGGGCAATAATAAAGAAAGGAAGGAGGAGGAGAGAAGGGCAGGGGAGGAGGGGAAGGAAAGAGAGGGGGAGGAGAGGGAGAAAGGGAATGCTCCAGCAGGAATCGGTGTTTGGACCGCTGGTTGTTGGTCTGCTCCTCCTACCCCAAAATACCCATGATGTAATCTGTTTCGACGAGGTTCTCGAGACACTAGTGCCAACTGGTCTATCGTACTGCTTCTGCCGCTGGTGGCTTCGAAGGCCCGGAGCTTTGTGATCTGGCTGAATCCACGACAACGCTACGCGCTACCATTTCTTCCGTCGCGGACGAGCGAAGACAATGAGTGAGGCAAGGAGAGGTGCAGGCGCTTGGGGGCGTCAGTTCCTAAGGCTTGAAAAGCCAACCCGACTCCTGCGGGGGCTGCGTGGATGCAGGGCACCCGCCTTCCCGTGAGGGCCTGCCTGCCCAGAGCGGCGGGGCCGTCCAGGAAGGACACTGCGCGCTACAGAGAGCGCGTCGCCTGCAGAGGGGCCGGGGGCCCACGGACGGGCGTACACCCCCTCCCGAAGCCCACGCGTAGGAAGGAGCATTTTTTACATATACATATAATAATATATAGATACACATATACCACTACACATGCATACATACGTGAATACATACATGCATACACACAGACACCCACATACATGCATCCATACATCCATCCTCACATACACACATACGTTCGCACACAAGCATACGTGCATAATACATACATGCATGCATATTCGCATATATACACACAAACATACATGCAGACACAAATCCATCCATCCATCCTTTCATCCATCAATCCGTCCATCCACACATACACAATCACACACCAACATACAAACATACATACACACATGCATACATACGTGCATACAATCATACATACGTACACACATACATACACACACAACAACAACTCCGACGGTATGACACCACGTGAGAATCTCCTAAAGACGAACACGGATGTAAGCCTCATCGTCATCGTGAGTGCAGAGGCGCTCCCCCAATTTCCTCATCATCCTTATCATTTTTCGTCCTGGCGGACGCCCTCTTCCAGCCCCTTGCCCGGCCTCGTTCTCGTGCCTTTTCTCCCCCATCCACCTCCTCCCCCGCCCTGTTCCAAAAAGGGCACGCACATCGATTTCCTTTGGCGCCGTTACCGCCGCGGCCGGCACGGGCGCGTTTCCCGATGGCCACATCACCCGTGGGCCAGAACGTTGGGACAACCGACAACCCCACAAACCGCTGGGGCGCGGGAACAATCCGTTGGGACAAACCCCGAAGTCTCGAGGTGGCCGCGGCCGTGCTCAGGCGGGAGGCAGCGCGAAACCCAGCTCTGCCGCGAGCTGTTCCGCCTCAGCCCTGAGGTTCCCCGCTACTTTGTCGAACTCCCTGAGCGCCTTCCACAGGGAAGCCGGCGGCCCGCGTTACAGGAATTCTCGCGTCGGCGGCCGCCGGATCACAATTCACTCACAAACGAAGCTCCCGTTTGAGATTTCCGCCATACTCAAGCTTCAAGTCAAGAGGCCCAAAACGGCGACTGTTACAAGGTTCCGATGAATCGCTCGGATTGGTAAAATGAGCTGCGGGCCCCATATGGAGGGCTCCCGCCTGAGGCTTCCTCGTAATTCAAGCACACACGACGCTCCCGCCAAAGACATCTCACTACTCATGCTTCAAGAGCCCAGAACGACAACGATTAAAGGTTCCGAGGATCCACTCTGGTCACTTGCTTGATTTGCGGCCTTCAGAATGGGGGGGGCGCCTGGAATGTCCTCGCCGTTCAGTCACAGACGAGGCTCCCGCCCGAGACTTCCGCCATATTCATGACTGAGGAACCCTTACAGTGAGGCTGGTTACGAAGTTTCATTGGCCCGCTCGGGTCAACAACGTGAACTGCGGGCCCCATAGGGATGGAGGCCACGCCTGAGACTTCCCCACGATTCACTCACAGACGAAACTCCCGCCTGAGACTTCCGCCGTGTTCACAATTACAAAATTCCGATGCCCAGCTCGGATTCAAAACATGAGCTGCGATCCCCGTGGGAAAGGCCCCCCCCCCTGAGATTTCCTCGCAATTCACTCACAGACGAGGCTCCCGCTCGAAACTTCTGCCGTACTCAGGACTGGGGAACCCTGAACTGACGACAATTGCAAGGTTCCGCTGGCCCGCTCGGATTAACAACATGAACCGCGGGCCTAATGCCCAGGGCCCCCCCGCCTGAGACTTCCTCCTCACACGTCACTCAAAGACGAGGCTCCCGCCTGAGGGCATCCTAAGACGAGTGTGCGTGTAGGATGACACTGACTATGCGGGAGCGGTGATAATGACGACGGAAGGAAGGATGATCGTGGTGGGATTGTGTTCGGGGTGGTGGTGGTAATGGTGATGGTGATGATGGGATGGTGATAGTAGTACTAATGATGACGATGCTAATGATGGCGATGATATCGGGGACGCGTGTGCTCCAAGCACGCGTGCGTGATAACGCGTGCGTGCGTGTGGTGACGGTGCGTGGTGCGATGATGGTGGTGGTGGTGCGATGATGGTGACGACGATGTGGGGGCGTTCTTCCTGCGCGGGGGGCGCGCAAAGAGAACGAGAAATCCACTTTGGATGTGGGGGGGGGGGATACTGCTGCTCAGGCTGCTTACAACGGTCCTGCACGTCGCTGCGTTGGCATGCCCTGCGCATCCTTGCTGCGCCGTGTTGTCCTTCGTCAATGAAAAGCTGCGCGGCTGCGCGGGTACAGGTGCGGGGTGGGGTGGGGGGGCGGGTGGCGGCTGCGGGCGGGCGCCAGGAACTTGTTGCTAGTGAGCGGTCGGGCTCTGTCTTTTTTGTTTTTGTTTTCTCTCTCTCTCTCTTTCTCTCTTTCTCGTTTTCTCTCTTTTTTTTTTCTCTCTCTCTCTCTCTCTCTTCTCTCTCTCTCTCTCTACATAAGTATATATATATATAAATCGTTTCTCGTTCTCTCTCTCTCTGTCTCTCTCCCCCCTCCTTCTCTTTATTTATGTTTGTTTATCTCCCTGTCTCTCTGTCTCTCTCTCTCTCTCTCCCTCTCTCTTTCTCTTTATTGTTATTTCTCTTTTCTCTCTCACTCTCTCTCAGTCTCTCTCTTTCTCTTTCTGTTTGTTTTGGTGTTTCGCTCGCTCTCTCTTTCGCTCTCTCTCTCTCTCTGTCTCTATCCCTCTCTCTCTCTCTCCCTCTCACAATCTCTCTCTCTCTCTCTCTACGCACACGCGCATATATGTACATATATTGTTAGTGTTTGTGTATATATACATACGTTGCTTTCCTCTCTCTCTCTCTCTTTCCTCTCTCTCTCTCGCTCTCTCTAGTTGTCTGCATCCGTTTCTCTCTCTTTCCCTCTCTCTCTCTCTCTCCTTTTTCTTTTCTCTCTATCTCTCTCGATACATATATATACATATATATATATATATCCCTTGATTATCTCTCTCTCTACCCCTCTTTCCGTTTTGTTGGTTTTTGGTTTGTTGTTTTTCCCCCTCTCTGCCTCTCTCTCTCTCTCTCTCTCTCTCTCGCTCTCTCTGTTTGGCTGCCTGGCGGCTGCAGGCAGGTGCCTGGGATTCGGTGTTCACGGGCAGTCGGGCTGTCTCTCTCTCTCTCTCTCTCTCTCTCTCTCTAGCTAGCCGCGGCAAGCAAGCGCCTGGAACGTGTTGTTCGGGGGCGGCGGGGGCCGTCGCGCGCGGCGGCTGCACTGCCCTCGCCCCCCCCCCCCCCCCCCCTCCCCCCCATGCGGCCCCGCCGCGATCCCCCCCCACCCCCGCTGAGCCCAGCAGTTCTGCCAGTTCGCCCTGGAATTTGCCAGCTGATCGATCTGCATCTTGAAGGGGCCGGGGGCGCTCTCTGCATCCATGATCCTTTCTGTCCCGGTTGCAGCGAGTGCGCTGTCTCTGGGGCCGCGAGAGGTCGGGCTACCGCTGCTGCGAACGACGCTAAAGGAGACGCGCGTGCCGTCTCTGAGAATATGCTCTGCGCCGTCGAATACCTGCCCGGCCCCCTTCGCGGTTTCGGCCCCCCGGCCCTGGACTGGCAGCGAATCTTCGGCCTGGCCATCAGCTTCTTGAAACCGCATTCGGGTTCTCTAGGCGAGTCCAGACATGCACGCAAGTTACCTCCTCCAGGGCCGGGTGATGTCTGCGTCGCCCTGAGCCCCCGCAACTGCGCACCGTCTGGGATTGGGCAGGAAGGCAGGGGCTCTCGGGGCCCTGGGAAGGCCAGTTGGAGGGGCCATCGGACATGGGCCCATCAAAGGGGCTCTCTAGATGCTCTCTAGAGGCTATCACGTTCGGCGCCGTCGGCGAGACCGCGGCTGCACAGTCGCATTCGCAATCGCAGTAGCCTAATTGTGGACCATCACCTGCATGATAACAACTGGTCCTTGTCCCGGTGCCTGTTCCCCCTAATTTTTTCATATCCCGTCGCTGTCCCGTGCCACCTGCTTTATCGGTTATTTGCAATTCGTGGCCGATTGCCGTGCCCCTCCGTCTGTTGTGCGTCGCGAGCCCCCCTGGCCTCCCCCGTCGGTAATTCGGCCCCCCTGGTTCGGTGTCCTTGATGATTCTGGCGTGCGAGTTTCCCCCCCTCCAGCTTTGGCCCTGGCGCGGTTGCTTTTCTGTTAGACAGGTTACCTGCTCGGCGTCTGATTGCCCTTCACCGCGCTCTTCTCCTCCAAGCCCCGGAGGCCCCCGTTGCCCTTGATAGTCGCGCCGTTCGCGTCGACTTCTCTCTCGTCGGCCATCGCCGCGCTGACGGCGACCCGGGCGACGCGCGCGATTGGGCCCCCATCGACGCGGCCTTCCTTGATCTTCAGCTGGCCCTCGCACTTCCTCATTGCCGCGCCGACGTTCTCCGAAATCTCCCACGTCGCGCCCGCCGCGAGGTGCTCGCCGATCTCCTCCCTGGTCACATCGATCTTCGGGCCTGCCTCCTCGTCGCCCGGGTTGAACGCCGCCCGGATCTCGGGCGGGGCCCGCCTGCTCTTGCCCCGCTGCTGCCGTCCATGCGCGACCCGCGCACTGACTGCCGACGCCGCCGACTGCCGGCCGCCGTCTCCGCGCGCGAAGTAGCTCACCTCCAGCGAGGGGCCCTCGACATCCAGCACGTCTTCGGTGACCCTCTCGAGCCTTGTCGCGTGGAACAGCGGCGTCGTGAGACTGGCCATCTTGCGCTCCTCCGCGGCGTCGGGGCCGTCCGCCTTCTGCGCCGCGGCCCTGGGCGACAGCCCGCGAGGCTTTGGTCTCCTGGCCCCGCGCGACCTCGCGCGCGCGGTCGACCCTGCCCACTGGGTCGCACATCGTCTTCGAAGCTCTGCGGCGCGCCCCAGGCGAGCTCGCCCGGCGAGGCCACGCGTCCTCCATTGATATCGGTTGCCCCGGCCCCCCTGGAATCCTGTCGCTTGGGCGGGCATGCCACTGCGCTGTTCGATGTATCTCTGCGCCCTGCTCATTACGTTTCCACCGTTGCAGCTGCCCCCGTCGTTGCCCTGCTGTGGCTGCATGCGTTTCAATGGAAGCTGTGTAGCAGAATATGTCTGTGCTTCTGACAGAACTCTCGTCTTTTCCTGTCGCCCCCACCTTGAGGTCGGCATGCCTGCGGAGCTTGTGCCCTCGCGCTGGCAGCTCGCTTCGCCTGCCCCCTTGCGGCGCTGCCCTTGCACTTGCCATCATGATTGTCCCCCCCTTCCTCAGCAAACGGATGCTGCTCCACCTCCCATGGGCCGTGCGCGATCATGTCGGCCGGGCCGTTGGCGCAAGTCGTTGCGGCGCTGATTGCGCCTTTATGTTTGGTGCAACTCGACGTGCTTCGCGAGCGCCTCAACGAGCCTCTCCCCGATCCTGGACCCGCCAGGGATATGATATGCGCTGGACTCGCGTGCCTGGTTCTGAGCGCGCCCTTGATCTCCACGGCTATCTGCATCGCGGCTACGATCCCCGCGATTGCATCGATCGTTTCCATTGCAGCCAGTCTCGCGTTGACTATTTCCGCGCTGCTGTTCTGCGCCGTGCTGCCCTGCTGGCCAGACCCAGCCGCGCTCGTCGGAACTGCTTCCGTTTGGCTCGGTGAGTTGCGGCTGCTCGAGCCCAGCGCAACCGTCTGCTTCCCTGCTGTTTTTTTTCTCAAGGGCGACTGGTCTAGGCCCCGGGAATTTTCTGCGGGGGCCTCTGGTGGTCTCAATCGGAATCCGGCGTTGCCTGCGGGATGGTTTTTTGGCGTCCACCGCCCTCGCCCCGTCGAGATGCCTACGTGGTAATGAGCCGACTAGTTCCGCTCGTCCACTCACCCTCTTCTTCATCATCTCCTTCATGAAAATGCCCGAAGGTGTGTTATTTGCCCTCCTCCGTGCCCAGTGGCGCGTATGCTTCGCTCGCGGTGGTGAATGTCTCCACGGCATCGATCTGCCTGTCTAGATCCTCCATCAGCTTGCCACTGAGCGCGGCCTGCCTGATGTCGACGGGCACCAGCGAGGATGTGGGCTCATCCGTCTGCGATTTGGGCGTGGATGCGAGATGCCCCAGGTTGTCAGCCTGGACGCGGTAGTCAAAGTTCACCTTCCCCCGTCTGCATTTCAACGCCTGAGACGATGTCGCCGCTAGCTCCAATGCCTGTTTTGAGCGCTCGATGCATGTAGCGTGCGCGACCTGCTCCTTCTGCGGCTTGTCGTCCTTGTAGTATCCGTTCATCTCCCTGCCGCTGGCTGTTGCGTGCGTCCACGCACCTGTCTGGGCCTGGCGCGGCCGCAGCGTTCCCCCTTCCGTCGCGCTGCCCCTCTTTTCTACACCGTCGACGGCGTTCCTGTTTGCTGCCGAATATGGTCGTCGTGCGTTTTCCTTCCAATAAGCAATGACTCCGTTGCTGCGCTTATAGATGTACCCCGCCCCCACTCCGCGCGTCGCAGACATTGGTGACTCCTCCTCCAGCATACTCCTCTTCTTATTGTGTCTGCCAACAAATGTCTGCATAGTTCTTGCATTCTTCCTCCGCTATCTGCCGGCCTCTTGAAGGTTTCCTGTCTGTAGACGTTCACGCTAATGTCGTTGCAAATTCCCTTCTCTGCTTACTGGTGGGTGGGCTGCTGCATCTTGGACTCTCTGGTCTGGGGCCTCTACCGCGGCTGCGCCGGCTGCTCCCCCCTTGTCGCGCTGTCTTGGCTGAGCTCGACATTGCGCGGTTGGCTCTCGACAGCTAGCTTCCTTTCAGCGCCCCTCTCGCGGTCGCTCTCGGGGGTGGGCCGCGAGCGCTCTCGACTCCTCCTTCCAGCGCTGTGACGCGCCCCGAGATGATCTTCGCGCCCCCCCCCCGCCCCCATCGATCTTGCAGGCCGCTCCTCGATTGACTGCGGCGCTCTCGACTGCTCCAGTGCTGCCGTCGCGTTTGGAACGGCGTTCGCTACGTTCATGTCATTTCCCTCGCAGTTGCCCCTGCCGCCCCCCGTCTCTCACGTCTCTGCGGCCCTGGGCGCGGGGGGCCGCTCGCTTGCGATGGCCATCGCGAACTCCGCGTTGATCGCGCCCGCGCGCGACACAATCCCCCCGGGCGCCTCTTCGTCGAAATCCCCCGACTGGTTGGCTGCAAGGGCCTCTGCGACGCGTTCGGAGACCGCCATCGCAGCGCGGATGCGCGGCGACCCCAGTCCGCGACCCTTTCCCCCCATGCGCACTCTGCGCCGCGCTCCTTCGCCGCCGCCAAACTTTCTTCCACGGGCCCGCGAGATGGGGCGCCTGGGTGGCGCGCGCTAGCTTCCTGGTCTGCTGCGAGTTGTTCGGCGCGAACGTCTGGGGGCACTTGATTGCGCCGCCGCAACTTGCCCTGCTCCCCCCCCCCCCCATGCGGCGGAAGGCCTTGCCGCCGCTGCCCGTGGCCCGCTTCTTGCCGACGCCGTCTCTCGCTTTTCCGCGCGTCGTTTCTGCGGCCGTTGCCTCCTGGCCCCTTCGCGGCGGCTTCTCGCGCGCACCTGGCGACCCTACTGTTCTTAGGCTTCGCGTTGACAGACCGCGGAGACCAATTTCTCCTCGAGAACTTCCTGAATAGGGCGGAGCCACTTGCTCCTGTCTGGGTAGGATTTCATTGTTTTCCTGCTGCTCATACTGCGTGGCCCGCCGCTGCTGTTCGGCCAAAAACGGAAAAGCCACCATGGGCATGGGTTTGCAATGACCTATGCGGCCACCAGCGGCCCGCGCGCCGCGCGCCCCCTCCCCCGCGGGCCGCCAGGGCCGCTGCCATCGCAAATCTTTATGCGGCGGCATTCCCCCGTCTTCGCGCGTCCAGACGTAGTCGCGCCAGCGCGGCTGGAGAAGTTCCACCTCCTGCGCCTCCACCCCGTCCGGCTCCCCAATGCTCGCCCAGGTCCTGGATCCCCCCTAACATCGTCGGGCAACTCTTCGACCGGCTAATCCTGTCCGAGCGCCCCTGGGCGAGGCAAGAAATGTCCATCTCCCATTTGGCGTACCACTCCTTTATCTCATCTGTTGCGCGCGCACTGCCTCCTCGCGGCGTCGACATCTCCGAGGCCATCCTTCCCCCTGCCTTCAGACACCTCGATATGCACCGCCGTTTGCTGCCCCGACTGCCGCCGCCGCGACGCCCGCTTGCCTGCCCGGATGTCGCGCCGACTGCTGGCGCCCCTTTCGTTTTCGCGTCCGCAGTGAGAGCTCGCGCCCGTCGGTGCGTCAATGCCTGGGAACATGCTCGCCGGCGTTGGATGTTGCACCTGGTAGGTCCGTCTTCCCTAGTCCCGCTCATCGATCCAACTTCTAGAGTCCTGGGATTTCTGGCCATGATGGGGCCCAAGAGTGCGCGCTGCGCCCTGATCAAGACGAACACCGCGAGTCCTCTCGGCAGCGTTCCTACCGCGAGCGCTTGAGATATCCATATCATCATTCGCCCGGGGGGGCGCCGTTGCTCCGCGACGTTGCCGCGCTGCCTGCTCGGGCAGCTTGCGTTTATGTCTATGTATAAGATTGCCCGAGACAGCGTTCATGTTCACGTCGCACGTTTGCCCGTCTGCGGGGTCGGACGCGTCGCGCCGCCTCTGCATGGGGCCATTTCTTTTCCCTTGCAAGCATGGGTCAACATAGATCTTGTAGCAGCCGTTGAACCACCAGGGTACGCGCACGAAACCACCTGGCGGTTTTGCGCGGTCCCTACTTCAAACGCGCCGTCTGCTGCCTGCAAGGTCAACGCGGTGCTTTCGGTCGCCCCCATCGGAAGCGCCCTGTCGGCTTCAGCCGCGGCGCCCCGCGCCGCCGCTCGCAGCAGCGGTCTCTCGACGGCGGCGAAAGCCTCCGCCCCGTCCTTTTCCGCCATCGCGCCGCCGGCGCCCCCCTGCTGCAACCCCCACTGTCTTGCGCAACGCATAGCATTCTCCGTCGATCTGCGCGGAGGCCCGCTCTGCGTCCATGGAGGGAGATCCTTGGGCCGGCCTCGGCCCCTCTTCTGGAATCCTGAATGGCGCGCCATGCTCGCGCTGCAGTTTGAGCGCGCGGGCCATCTGCTTGCTGCCCCCTCCTCCCCGGCGCCTTTCGCCGCTGCGAGCGCCGCGGGCCTGCGCCAGTCGCGAGGCGACATCCTGCTCGTCTGGCATTTCACGGGCAACCCGTGAACAGGACGACTGCGCTATTCTGGGTGGTCTCTGCCGGAACGGAGGAGGAAGACGAGGAGGAGGGGGGGGAGGAGGAGGAGGAGGAGCAGAAGGAGGGGGAGGCGGAGGAGGAGGAGGAGGAGGAGGAGGTGGTGGGAGGAGGAGGGGGAGGGGAGGAGAGGAGGGAGGAGGGAGGAGGAGGAAGGAGGAGGAGGAAGAATCGTCTCCGGAACGGCCCCTGCCGTAGCGGGCCCCCTCCTGCGAGGCAAGTGCGAGGCGAGGCCGGGCTGCGCGCGCCCCCCGCCTCGCCCGGGCAGCGGCTGCCACGCCCCGCCCCGAGGTCCTCGCCCGCATCTTCCTCGCCATCTCGGAGGCGTCGATTCCAATCGGATCCTCCTGCCCTTGGCCCATCCCATCTCCATAATCAGCTCGGCACCCTGTTTGAACTGTCTTCGCGGAGTGTAGCGCCCCGGCTCCTCCCCGGCCTCTCTGCATCCAGCCCTTCGCGCCGCCCCCATCGTCATTCCTCTCGCCCAGCCACATCGGCGATTCCAAGTTGGCTAGAAGATCCGACGACATCCACGCCGTCTCCGTCGGGGGCCCCGACGCCAGCCATACTCTTGTTCGCTTCCCTGCAACAAGCGAACATATGTCATTCGACCATTTTGTTCGACCAGTGCCAGCAGGTCGTGGCCTTTTGGCATCGGCAACTCCTGTTCAGCGTTAGTGTCTCGCCCTTGCGCTATTCTCTCCGCGATTTATCTCCTTCGCCCCCAGTCCCCCGTCTGCGCCGCCTTCCTCAGCTCGCCCGTCCGCGTCTCGCGGTCCCAGTGCGCAGACGCCGCGAAGTACCGTCTACCATTTCGGCTGCATTGTATCCGTAGTCGGCGCATTTCCGAAACATGATGGACCCACGAACCCGGAAAGGGATATAGACATGTGGAGCATGGACACGTTTTCATGATACCCAACTGGGCAACACCTCACGAAACATCCCACGAGACACCTCACGAAACAGCCCACGAGACACCTCACGAAACATTCCACGAGACACCTCACGAAACATTTCACGAGACACCCCGCGAAACATTCCACGAGACACCCCACGAAACATTCCACGACGACAGGCAACCACTCAACCAAGGCGGTGTGGTCGTGCTGGGGAGTGGTCGTGCTGGGGTGTGGTCGTGCTGGGGGGGTGGTCGTGCTGGGTGGTGGTCGTGCTGGGGCGTGGTCGTGCTGGGGCGTGGTCGTGCTGGGGCGTGGTCGTGCTGGGGCGTGGTCGTGCTGGGGCGTGGTCGTGCTGGGGTGTGGTCGTGCTGTGGTAAGGTCGTGCTGGGGTGCGGTCGTGCTGGGGTGTGGTCTTGCTGGGGTGGGGTCGTGCTGGGGTGTGATCGTGCTGGGGTGGGGTCGTGCTGGGGTGTGGTCGTGCTGGGGTGTGGTCGTGCTAGGGTGGGGTCGTGCTGGGGTGGGGTCGTGCTGGGGAGTGGTCGTGCTGGGGTGTGGTCGTGCTGGGGTGTGGTCGTGCTGGGGCGTGGTCGTGCTGGGGTGGGGTCGTGCTGGGGTGGGGTCGTGCTGGGGTGGGTTCGTGCTGGGGTGCTCCGCACCCTGTGATTTATCGATCGGGTCGTGCTGGGGTGTGGTCGTGCTGGGGTGTGGTCGTGCTGGGGTGTGGTCGTGCTGGGGTGTGGTCGTGCTGGGGTGTGGTCGTGCTGGGGAGTGGTCGTGCTGGGGGGTGGTCGTGCTGGGGGGTGGTCGTGCTGGGGGTGGTCGTGCTGGGGGGGTGGTCGTGCTGGGGGGTGGTCGTGCTGGGGCGTGGTCGTGCTGGGGCGTGGTCGTGCTGGGGCGTGGTCGTGCTGGGGCGTGGTCGTGCTGTGGTGAGGTCGTGCTGGGGTGTGGTCGTGCTGGGGTGTGGTCTTGCTGGGGTAGGGTCGTGCTGGGGTCGGGTCGTGCTGGGGTGTGGTCGTGCTGGGGTATGGTCGTGCTGGGGTGGGGTCGTGCTGGGGTGGGGTCGTGCTGGGGTCTGGTCGTGCTGGGGTGTGGTCGTGCTGGGGTATGGTCGTGCTAGGGTGGGGTCGTGCATTTCGCTCGAGACATCCTGCCAAAATTCCAGGAAATCGTACAAAAACAAACGAATTAGTCGAGACATCATCGAAATTCCTTCGCGCGGGGCGCTTTTCCGCGTCGCGGTCGGCTCTGCAAAACAAGCGTTTCGCTCGAGACATCCTCGGCAAACTCTGCGGAGCAAGCGTTTCGCTCGAGACATCCTCAACACACGAAAAAGTGGCCCGCACCCTGTGATTTATCGATCGGGATTTCAAAAACAAGCGTTTCGCCTGAGACATCCTCAAATTTTAATCCGCCGGCCTCCTTCGACCTCGATATTTATCAGGGAAAAAATCCGCCGGCCTCCTTCAAGTTGGCACCGGGGGACAGGTTTACCCACTAAAAGAGAACCCTGGGCCGGCGCCCTTTCCGGGAAAAATATTCAGCTGGTGGTCCACCCGCATCTTCTCCACCAGGGTGGCCCGTCTGTGCCCCGCGTGTTTTTCCCTGGCCTGTCTGAGGGCCGCTGTGACATGCGTTAGCTCCTCCTGCGCCCCCTCGCACTCCCCCTCCGCCGCCTATTCTGCGATCCTCTCACTCCTGTCCTTCAGTCGCTCCAGTTTCCTTTCTCCAGCTTTGATTGTGAGCGCGTGCAGTTGTGTAGGACCGTTGCGTTACCCCGCCGTTTTCTCCAACGCCTTGTCGCGCGCCCAGATCTGCAGCGCGCGGCATCCGGCGTCGACTCGCGAACAACTCGCCCCAGTCGTCACGTCCCTCTCCCCCCAACAATTCCTTGTCCTGTACAACAACTCCTGTCCCTTGTAATTTCTTCGCGAACACTTCTTTAGCAGGTCTCTGTCCAATCTGAGTTCATCCGCTCCGGGCCGGAGTGCTCCGATGGCGTTTTCCAGCGACGCGGGCAAGACGATTCTCACAGACAGGTGATCTCCCACACCTCGGTCCAATTCGTATCTCCGCCGCGTCTCCCTATCGCGCGCCTGAGCGCGTCGCATATCTCCTCTGGCTTTGCTGGCTGCATTGGAGGGGGTGGCTATGTGGCCAGTCCTCGACTGAGTGCCCTGATTACCGTAGAAAATCGGGCCAAGATTGCACTGGTCGTCAAAAGTGTCAGGTCGCGCGCGGCACATAGCTTCCTATATGCTGTTCTATTGGAATGAACCAGCTTCGGGCGTGGTCCTCCCACTGTCGCGCCTGCGCTGTGCACGACCGTTCGGTCATATGCCCTGTGCATACCAAAGTCGTTACTGTCACCTCGCACCACCACTGTAGTTATGCTCTCAGCTTTGCCCATATCCTCCTCCACCCAGTCCGTGATGTCGTTTGCTCGTATGGGTTGTGACTGCATGTAGACTGGCGCGAAATAGCAAGTGCAAATCGCATAATTCACCTTGTGGTCGCATAGCCTGATGCCTGCTGCTCTGCCGCGCACTCCTTCTGATGGTGACATGATTTTGCTGAATGCACCCTGCTGAATTCTTGTACTTACCACCGCAGCAGTACCGCAGGATGTATGTATCATTCTGCTTAACTTCGCCCCACTTTCAATACCCAGTGGTGTGGTAGTATTGCTTTGGTCACTGGCTCGCCTCTGCTCCGTTGTGCTGTCCCCGCTAACAACATCACGTCCGAGGCTTTTAGTTCGCAGCTAATTTTCTGTAGCTTCTCATGTGTGTGGACCGACAACATTGTTGTAGTATCATATACACATGCCCACTGTCAATCTAACAATCAAGTGCAGCAGAGAATGTCTCATGCATGGGCCCCTTTCTTCTTGCCCTGTGATCAGTGGAGGGGTCCCTGGTGCGTCGGGCGAAATGCCACTGAGGCGCTGCGTATCGTCGCCCGCGATCCTGAATCTCGAGTGCCGACTAGGACAAGGAGGGGGAGGAGGAGGAGAAAGAAGGGGAGGAGGACAAGGAGGAGGGGGGAGGGAACACGGGCACGCAATCGCTGTGGAAACCAACCGCAAAATAATCTAACAATATAATATCATTTTCCGACGTCCTCTGGTAGGTGTCAGGTTCGGGGGCGATCAATGTTTCCATATCCCCATAACCCCCTCCTGTTCTTCACCCTCCTCCTGCCATCCCTTTCCGATTTGACTCATCGCCTTCCTCCCCGCCAAAATATCCAATCACGAGGAAAATCAGCCACTCAATAAGTCTTACGGCCACCAGACCTTTCACCCGGCCGATCCGTCAGACACCCAGCCAGTCAGTCGTCCCGGTACCCAGTCACCCAGTCAGTCAGCAAGCTACCCAGTCACCCAGCCAGGCAGACAGTTACAAAGTCAATCGGGATGCCTGCTTGGGTGTGCCTGGGGTGCCTGCCTGTCCTGCCTGCGGATTTGTTTTCGCCACCATTATAGATACCTATGCAGCCTCTACTAGGACTACTCGTATTGCCCACCAACCGCAATGCATGTTTTTTTACTGCTGTTTGTTTTCTACTGGAAATTCTCGTCCGACGATCTTGCCCAGCATAAGAGCCATACCATTAATAATCATGCACACGCTGCCTTCTCCCCAAGCATGCTGCCACAACCCTTGGCACGACGGATGGTTTTACGGGTGCAACTGGTTCACCTACCTGTACTGTTCATCTTACGGCTGGAACCAATGTACAACCTGTACGGCCCACGACTACTATACTGCGTAATACATTGACGACCAAGACTACAACATTATACTGATGATGATTCTGGTCCTACCACTGAACGTTTCCCATCCGACTGTTACGTATACTACATGCTGCTACCGCTGCTGCTGGTACTACGCATGCTGGGACCAGGTCATGGAAAAGACGCTCGGATGATGCGGAGACGAAAATGGTTGGAGGGGGGGAGGAGGAAGAGGAAAAGGAGGGTGAGGCGGAGAACGGCGACGAAGAAGAGAGGAGAGGAGATAATGATGACGGAGGAGAGGCGTAGGAGGACGAGGAACGAGGGAAGAGGGAGGATGATGAGCAGGAGCACGACGACGATGGAGGAAGGGGAGGAGAGACGAGGGACGATAGAGAGAGGGTAGGAGCAGCGAGGAGGAGAAGAGAGCAGGGGAGGGAGGGAGGGGAGGAGTAGAGAGGGACGGGAAGAAGGGAAGGAAGGAGGGAGGAGGAAGGTGGAGGGGAGGGAGGAGGGAAGAGACGATGGACGACGACGACCGCCACGGGCCTCAAGCGGATGCTGAGGCGCTGATCCCTCTGCAGGGCGGCGACCAGCACGTCTGGCTCCCCGCGCTGGCCGTTCACCTCTCTGGCGCCGAGGGCGCGGAAACTGTGAACCCCGTGATGTTATCCGTCATCCTCCCCTCTCCCCCTCCCCCTCCCCCTCCCCTCCCCCTCCTCCTCCTCCTCCTCGTCCTCGTCCTCCTCCTCCTCCTCCTCCTCCTCCTCCTCCTCCTCCTCCTTCTCATTATGGACGTCTCCTCCCTGTCGCACCCCCAAGAGCGTCGGTAGGGCGAGCCAGGCATTTCGCTTGAGACTTGCTCACCATGTACGGCCCTGAAGCTTGAAATCTGGGGTAGCTTCAGGGATGGAGGGCGGGGGGGGTCAAAATGTGGTTCTCACTTTAGCGCCGCGAACATTCGTCTTCAAAGCTCGCAACAGCTTTCAAGATAGAGGGTGTGTGGTTGCCGTACCATGGTGATCACCTTGGCACCGCACGCGTTCGTCTGAACAGTCTACAACCGTGCCAAAGGTTCGTATGGTTGAAATCCGAGGAAGGTTGCTCCGGCGCGACTTAGGGTTGTCAGGACGCAACAGTGGTGTTCAGGCATTTGTCAGGACACAACCATCGCGTTGATTCCTGGCGGTGGATGTCTTTCAGTGGGGAACTTCCCGCAACGAAAGTAAGCTCTTGCAGGGACCTGTGAAGAGGGATCTTGGAGGGAGGGTTTACTGCAACATCGTTGATGCGCCTTGGATTTATACTCTGGCCCTCCTCCTTCTCCTCCTCCTCTCCGTCCTTCTCCTTTCTGTCTTCCTCCTCTCCGTCCTCCTCGTCTCACCTCTTCACCTCTTCTCCTCTTCTCCGTCCTCCGTCTCCTCCTCCTCCTCCTCCTCTTCCTCCTCTCCGTCCTGACCTCTCCTCCTCCTCCTCCTCCTCCTCCTCCTCCTTCTTATGCCTTGTATTTCCCTCCCTCCTGCGATCTATTCTCAAAACTGGGCTCCCGCTTGAGTGGCAGGCTCGTGGAGCTCTCGTCTTTCGAGGGGGGGGGGGCTTCCGACGTGGAGCGGGGTGCTGGTATCGGGAGGTGTTGTGACGAGGGACCTCGGGAAAGAAGTGCGATGCAGCCGAGGTGTACTCTGCTTCCCCTGCTCTCCCTCGGCCCCTGGATCGTGCCGGCCGATGCGGCCCTGGCCTCGATGATGCGGTCGCCGGGCTGAACGGGCGTCTCCTGGCGCCACGAGGGGGCGGGCGGAGGCGGGGCAGAATGGCTGAGTGCACGAGACATGCGTGCTACGTGCGTGGCCGTAGGCTCTGACAGCCCGTGGGCAAATGAATACTCCGACTGGGAGCACGATGCAGAAATGGCGCGGCGTACGCTCTGGGCGCCATGATGCTGGTTCGCCACCTGCTGCCGGCAGCCCATGACTTAGCGCACGATGCAAGCACGAGGAAAGGGTAAGAGCGAGTACGAGGAGGAGAAGGAGGAGGAGAAGGAGGAGGAGGAGGAGGTGGAGAAGGAGAAGCAGGAGCAGGAGGAGGGAGACGAGAAGGAGGAGGAGGAGGGGGACGAGGAGGAGGAGGAGGAGAAGGAGGAGGAGAAGAAGAAGGAAGAGGAGATCTGAAGAGGAAGCTGGTCTTCCACAGATCTCCTTCGGAGACCTCTGGGGACCTCTGGGGATTTCCGAGGACCTCCAGGGACCTCCAGAGGACATCCAGAGATCTCAATCGATCTCTGGAGACATCCATGGCTTTTCCTTCTAAACAAGAACTCCTCCTCCTCCTCCTCTTCTTCCTCCTCCTTCGCCTCCTCCTCCTCCTCCTCCTCCTCCTCCTCCTCCTCCTCCCCTGTACGCCGCCAAAGGTCGGTAGGGCGGTCCGCGACGTTCACCTGATAACTCTTCACAACTTATGACCCCAAAGCTTGCAAGTCCCCAGCTAAAGAGATTCACCCTCAGACGCTTGCAGTAGCAGGAACGTAGAGTCGTAGGCAGCATCAATGTAGCATGCAGCACGTTGCGTCCGCAGCCCCTTACGGCATAAGACTTGTCACCGTAGCGCGTGGGCCGGGCCCGTGCATGTCTGGGGAAGGAGGAGGAGGTGGAGGAGGAGGAGGAGGAGGAGAAGGAGATGGAGGGGGAGGAGGAGGAGGAGGAGGAGGAGGAGGAGGAGGAGGAGGAGGAGGAGGAGGAGGTGGAGGAGAGGGGGAGGAGGAGGCGGAGGAATAAGAGGAGGAGCAGGAGGAGGAGGAGGAGGAGGAGGAATAAGATGAGGAGGAGGAGGAGGAGGAGGAGGAGGAGGACGGGCCGCCCCAGCCCTTCGGAGAAACCCTCCAGGGAGAGGTCCAAGAGAAAGTGGAGCCCACGAACGCCTGGCGCCATTCAGCGCCGGGTGGAGAGAGGAGCTCGCCGGCGGCTCGGCGTGGGCAGCCAGTCTCCCCTGAGCGCGGGTATCCCCGCCTTGGGCGCAGGCAGCTCTGCGCCGCCTTGGCGGGCTGCTCCAGCAGCTAAAGAGGAGGCGCCTGCGGGGAGCCCCGCGGCGTCGACGCAGCAAGGCGCCCAGCCAACGTGGGGGCAGCGGGTCCTGGGGGAAGCGGGTCCTGGACCCGGGGGCCTTCCCACAGGACGAGCTCTTCATCCGGGACCGTTTTCTGACAGTTCCCGGGCCCGTAGAGGGCCCCGGGAGCCCGAAACGGTGAAAAACCTGAGGACCCGTTTCCCTGGTCCTCCTCCTCCTCCTCCTCCTCCTCCTCCTCCTCCTCCTCCTCCTCCTCCTCCTCCTCCCCCTCCGTCTCCTCCCTCCTCCTCCTCCTCTCCTCCTCCTCCTCCTCCTCCTCCTCCTCCTCCTCCTCCCCCTCCTCCTCCTCCTCCTCCTCCTCCTCCTCCTCCTCCTTGTCCCCCTCCTCCACCTCGTCCTCCTCCTCCCCCACGATGAGCCTCTGGGGCGCCACCCGCGACGCGAGGAGGAGGCAGCAGGCCGCGCAGGCGCTGCTGGAGGAGCCGAGGAGGCGGTCGTCCTCGCCGTCGTCGTCGTCGTCATGGTCGTCGTCGGCGTCGTCGTCGTCATGGTCGCCGTCGTCGTCGTCGTCGTCATGGTCACCGTCGTCGTCGTCGTCGTCCTCGTCGTCGCCGTCGTCATCGTGGTCGCCGTCGTCGTCGTCGT